GCATGTAAGCAACTCAGTGCTCTTGCTTTTGTTTTTGTTTTCTTATGGTGGTGAAGATGGAGCCTCAGTGTACACATGCTAAAAATATCTATCACTGAGTTACACATAAACCTCCTCAGTTTTAATCTCTGAGTTGTTCCCTTTAGTGTGCATAAGTTGATGAGACCTATATGCTGGCCCAAAAAACTAGGGACAATGAGTTCTCTGTACCCAGTGATGTAAGCTTCGCTTCTTTGTGCTCAGTAGTTCCCAAATTCTGGTCTCAAGACTCATGCCAAAGTGTCTTTGCAAGAATCATTTAGGATACTTAAATATATATATTGATGGCAAAGTCCTAGTATCAGGCACTTTGAATCAGAAGCTCTGGGATGTGTCCTAGGTGTCTGCATTTCTTAAGGCTGTACAGATGATCATGGTGTATAGCCAAGATTGGAGCACATTCCAAGAGATTTTCCAAATTGGACTAGCCCTCTGTCTCTATAGCTTGGGAATTCAAAAAGCCTTCTTCCACATATCATTGTGAAGGTGGGTTTTCATTGCATTGATTTAAATGCTTGCTATTTATTTATTTGACTTTGCCTACATTCTAAAGACAAGAAAGAGTTGGATATGATTGCCTACTCCCCCAGTCTCAACACTCAGTGGGCTGAGGCCGCAGAATCCCTGTAAGTGGAGGACATCTTGGGAAACAGAGATTCCAATCCTGGTCAAGATAACATTGCAAACCTCTATCTAAGAAAGAAAAAAAAAGGAAAGAATAAAAATAAAATGATGATAGAGAAAGGCCTCTGTGAAAGAAAGAATGAAAGAAAGAAAGATGTAGAGAAAATGATGATAATGAAAACAAAACCAAGCAAATTGTCAAGAAGGAAATCTGTCTTTGTACGCTTGGAAATCAATATGGTGATTTCTCAGAAAACTGGGACTCAATCTACCGTAAGATCCAGCGATACCCCTCTTAGGCATATACCCAAAGAATGCTCAGTCATACCACAAGGACACTTGCTCAACTGTGTTCATAGCAGCATTATTTGTAATAGCCAGAACCCGGAAACAACCTAGATGCCCCTCAACTGAAGCATGAATAAAGAGAAATTTAGAAATTGGGTGTTATTTATCGAAGATTCAGGAAGTGGCAGTGAGACAAAGGTCTCTACCTTCCAGATAGTTAGGAGAGAGAGGTTACATACAGTAGAGAAAACCCTTTGTTTCAGTTTTCTTCCACTCTGAAACTCAATGTTTTGCAGAAATTGTAAGCCCAGAATTAGAGTTGAAGGATAATTACTCTGTAAATGACAGCTCTGTCTGTTTCTCTGTCTCCAACTTGCTATTCCTCAGTTGAAATTCTTAAGCTATATGGATAAGTTAGGATTCATTGCATAGCCTCCTTAACATGTGAAATGTGACTTGGTTTTAAATCTATGATTTACATATTTGCAGGAGCCCATTTATTATAGAAAGCAGTGAACAGCTGTGTCCTCCCTAGGGTTAATAGCTTCACTTAAAGCCCCTTAAAACACCAATTAAGAAGAGTAGAATTTAATTTCTGTTTCTTATTAAGTTCTTATTAGGAAGTTAGTTATTAGTATACTCCTCAGAATGTATTATGAGACAGTACATCCAATATGTAACCAAGTCTGTGTTTTCCAAAGTTCGGATTTCTTTTGTAAGTATATATAAAAAAAGACCCAAGGGGTTGGGAAGACGGCTTTATTAAAGTGCTTGCACTGCAAGCATGAGGAACCAAGTTTGATCCCCAGAACTAGGGTGAGGTGGGTGAGGTGAACACATACTTGTAATCCTTGTGCTGGGAGGTAGAGACAGGCAGACAGATTCTTGGGGCTTTGCTGGCCAGACTGCCTAGCCTACTAAATTAGCCTCATGTTCCAGTAAGAGACCGTGTTTGGTTATTTTTGTTGTTGTTTTATTTTGCTTTTTTGAAAAGGGTTTCTTTGTGTAACAGCCCTAGCTGTCCTGAAACTCACTCTGTAGACCAAGCTGGCCTCGAACTCACAGGGATCTGCCTGCTTCTGCCTCCTGAGTGCTGGGATTAAAGGAGTAACACCCAGCTGAGAGACTTAAAATACAAGGTAGGGAACAGTGAGATGGCTCACCAAGGTAAGATGCTTGCCACATAAGCCTGGTGATCTCAGTTTAGTCCTTGGAAGTCACATAAAAATGAAAGGAGAGACTACTCTACAAAGGATGTTTTTACACATATGTACTGTGGCACTTATACCAAATAATAATAATAATAATATTTTTTTAACTTAAAAACACAAAACAATTTGGGCAGTTCGTGAAGACTGACACCCAAGGTTGACTTCTAGCCTTCCCATGCAAGTACACACACATGCACATGTACCTGTACTCAAATGTGAACTGTCACACCCATTCACATACATGTACCCATATACACCTAAAAGAAAGAAAGCAAAAACTTGACATCAAATCTTTTTCTAAGTTCTCTAAATTTAAGAAGTTATAGTGAGGTAAAATCATCCGCATATTGTTTCATGACTATTTTCAACACAAGCTACTACAATGAGAAAAATTAGCACACAAACTAGGAGGAGGTAGCTGTGGGTTAGCCACCATACATATGGTAGTAATCACAGCACGGTGCTGGCAAAAGGCTGCTCCAAAGGAGTTGTGCCCGGTTGTTCACACCTCTAATCCCAGTACTGAAGAGGTCAGAGGCAGAGGATCGCCAGTTCCAGGGCAGCCTGGGCAATGGGTGGGAACAACCACAAACAAAAGCAAACCAAAAACAAGAGAAAACACCAGTGCTCCAAAGAATCTGTAATTGTGGCAATCGAGTTGTTGGGAAGAAATGCTAACAAAATGTGAGCTTTGGAGCATCACTTATAGCCACTAGAAGTGTGTTACAGCTCCTTCAAGAAGCCCTATGGGAATTTCCAGGTGTATTGGTTGGTTCCATGTAGAGATGCACATTGGAGATGGTCACTAAAGGTGGGTAGGGACTCACACTAATCTTGAAATGGAAAAAAAAATACCCCGAAATGGAGAGTGCATCTCCGAGAAAAAGAAAGTTAAACCTCATCGAGGAGAATATGTGAAGACTGGAAGGTCAATAGATCATGCGCTTAGCTTTATTTTTGGGTAAGATGACAAAGAGAAGTTCAAATCAAAGAACTTGGTAGGAAAACTTCAGCGGCTTCTTTGTCTAATGAAGTGACACACAAACGACATGCAGACTTTAACTGTCTCCTGATGTAAAAAGGAGCGGCGGGCTGTGTCTCGCCACCTGGCTCCCGGCAGACTCTCCTACATCATCCTGAAATCCATGTTGAGATGAAACTTGGGGAAATGATAGCAAATGAACTCACAGTAGATTTAGGTTTAGTTTGCAGATTTGATTGAGTGACTAGAACTAGGTACTGTCCTTTTAGGTTTTGAAGAAGCTCAAAGTAAAGTTTTGGACTAACAGGTCCCTCAAGTATACTTTAATAATGTCCCGTTTGAAAGGTTTGAAAATCTTCATTTTCAACTTGATCAGCAGCATCTCTTTAGCCATAGCAATAAGAATATAGAATGGTTATCTCATGGGACCAATTTTGCATATTTTAATGCAAAACTGTTTCTGTATCAAGAAAGGTCAGTATGTTTATGCATTTAGGTTTTGCTAATGTACATATTTATGCTTAGTTCTAGATTGTATCGTGTTGTCTAATTCTAGTTCCCTTCTGTAAGATGACTTGAAAAATATTTTATATTTTTCTTTAAAATTATTGTAATTATGTACATGATGTGATAATTATATTCATTATGTGATAATTCGATCCACACAGAACAGTGTGTAACAATCACCTGGGGTAGTTAATATTGATACCTCCTTAAACATAAAAAATTAAAGACACATAACAGTAGTGCATATTTATGTGGTGTGATATAGTATTTCATGTGTATACTCTATGTGCAGAGCATATCAAGGTGAATGGCATCCCTATCTATTTATCATTACCTTGTGTTTGAGTTCTCATTCATAGAACATATTAGTTTATTGTGAGCTATACTCCCTGCACACACACACACACACTGTATACTGGAACTTATAAACTCCTCTCTGCTGTGTTTGGCCACCTGTCCTCCAACCTCCCCCATGCACTCCTCCCACACTCCAGAACCTTTAGTAATCATTATTATATATATCAATTGCCTTCTTACAGCATTCTTATGTGAAAGAGTATGCAGAATCTGTCTTTTTGCAACTGTCTTACTTTATGTAACACCCTCTACCTCCTTCCATTTCCCTGTAAAGGATACTATACTAATCTTTTGATAGCTGAATAGTATTTTATTTGTGTGCATGTGTCTCTATGTCCCATTTTTCATATCTAGTCATCTCTTGATGATCCCTAGACTAATTCCCTATCTTAGTTATTGTGAGTAGTGCCTAACTATTGTAAAAAAGCATGAGAGTACACATGTCTCTGATACAGTTACTTCTTTTCCTCAAAAGACAAACTCTAATGTGTGATACCTGGATCAAATGGTAGGTCTCTTTTTGATTTTCTGACCCTACTATTCTCTATAGTGGTTATATTCATTCACTTTCCTATTAACTGTATGTAACAATTCCTTTTTCTCTATATCCTTAGCAACATTTGATATATATTGGGGGGATAAAAAGTGAAAACTTACATGAAGTGGTCTATATTTAATCTGATTCATTTTTCTCTATTTAGAAAGTTTGATTCATGCAGCTGGAGAGATGGCTCAGCGGTTAAGAGCACTGGCTGTTCTTGCTGAGGACCCAGATTCAATTCTTAGCACCCACATGACAGCTCACAACTGTCATTAACTTCAGTTGTGGAGAATCAAATCCCCTGTTCAGTTCTCCATAGGTACCAGGCACATGTGTGGTACACTCACATACCTGCAGGCGAATAAAAAGAAACACACATAAAATAAAAATAAGCCTAAAAGAAAAATTGATTCAAAGCATTTGTGTTTCCTCTCTACTTTCTTCCCCTTAGAATAATATAGCTGATCCAGAAGAACTGTTCACAAAATTAGAGCGCATTGGAAAAGGCTCCTTTGGAGAAGTTTTCAAAGGAATCGACAACCGTACCCAGCAAGTGGTTGCAATTAAAATCATTGACCTTGAGGAAGCCGAAGATGAAATAGAAGACATTCAACAAGAAATAACTGTTCTGAGTCAGTGTGACAGCTCATATGTAACGAAATACTATGGGTCCTATTTAAAGGTAATGTCCTCATTATGTATTATATTATATACTATTTCATATTGTGTTCATGATATATTATTTCATAATGTGTTCATGATATATTATTTTATAACGTGTTTTCATTATATACTGTTTTTTGTTTTCTTTTAGTTCTAATTTTGAGAGGCAGTATCTTTTTTTCCTTTTTTTTTTTTTTTTGAGACAGGGTCTCACTGTGTAGCCTGACTCTCCTAGAACTCACAATGTAGATAGAACAGACCGGCCTTGATCTTATAGAGATCTACCTGCTAGAATTAAAGGTGTGCACCACCACACCCAACTCAAAAGGCAGGCTCTTAAATTAGCACTTGGTAATCTTTACCGTCTAGGCAGAATCCAGCTCCATTTATGATGTCAACTAAACCACTGTTAGAGTTAACAGCAGCTTCTTGCAAGTATTCCAGAGCTCAGCTGCTCTCTTCCATCCCTGAACTTTTGGGACAGGGGAAGAGGAAAAAGGTCTCTGGTCTTTAGGCCACATTGCCACATAATAGCTGTACCCCTGGCTTTCCATGTGCTATTCTTAATAGTCTAATCGTTCTCAAACTCAGAGTGGAGGGTGCATATAGATAGCATCGAGCTATGGTTGTTACCTATGCATTTCTCTCCCAAGGTTGTGAGCACATTGATGACAGCTTAGCTTAATTTTTCCCCGTTTTTATATCCCTTAGTTCAGCTTATGATTCATACTAAGCTTATGACATAGTTTACCTGAACCATCCCCAGGTTCTTGCTTTCTTCCTCTACAACACTAAGATCTATGTGATCAAATCCTTCACTCACGTAAGATGGTGCAATATTTGTAGAGACACTTCCCAGCCCACCTAGAATGATGTGTTCTACCCCAAAGCGATAGATGTCAAGTGTGTTCATTTATTCAGTAACTCACAGATGGAGTCTTTAATAAATAAATCCTTTTCTTATTGTCAAAAAATAAAAAAAAAATAAAATAAAAGATAAATACAAAAGAAAGAAAAGGAACTACTCCCAGCCCAGTATGAGCCCGATAGCTATGGCGGTAGTATAAAATCTGAGTTATGATTGGCTACATTGCCATGGTATAATGGATTCACTGCATGGCTTTACTGCCATGGCATAACTTTGCGTTAGAGACAGGAGTGCATGTCTGGAGCACAGACACGTGCAGAAAGGTTTCCGGCTCTGTGCATATGAAAGTCCTGGTTTGGTATGGTGATGCCTGGGTTGTCGGAGATATGGTGAAGACAACATAGCCATTAAGACATCTAGCCTCCAGAGTGCTTGCTTTTCCTTGTGGCCACCAGGCTAGTTAGTGTGTGCAGCCCAGGTGCACACACAGAAATTTCAGTTTCACCCGAGTGTGAGCTAGGGGTCTGAGGCAGTGACCCCACTTGGCAGTGACATGTGGTTGGATCCGGTACAGCTACAGAACCCAGGTCTGGACTGTGGACTCTCACGGAGCAGCCATTAATCCAAGGCTGAGGAACTGGCATGGTTTGGGAGAATAGAGAGTCCTTTTCCCACTGCCTCAGCAACTTTTGGCTTCAGGAGCAAGGTTGTGTTACTGTGCCTGCCCTCCCTGGAGCTCCCTAGGAAGTCTAGCTGTTGAGCACTTCAGCAGTTACAATGTCAGTATCCTCTGGAATAGTTCATTTGGAACCGCGGTGGTTCCTACTGCATGGCGATATTGATAGCCTTCCTCTTTCTTCTTCATTCATGGCCATCTCTCGGCTGCATGGGTATGCCATTCTCGCCAGTGACCCTTTCTGTGGAGAGATCCTGTTTCCTTTGTGTCTCCTGTGTTGCTACAGTTAGGGCTAGTGAGTTATTTTGGTTTGTGGTATGTTCTCTCTCATCTTCTCTCCTTCCATCCCACCATGTGCACCCGTCATGTGTGCGTGCATGTGTGTGTATGTGTGTGTGTGTGTGTGTGTGTGTGTGTGAGAGAGAGAGAGAGAGAGAGAGAGAGAGAGAGAGAAAGAGAGAGAGAGAGAGAGGAAGACTTGTGTCTTCTATGCCTCCATCTTGGTGACCTAGGTGTCATTGCTTTCTTGATCTTTATGTATTTATATTAGTTTATGTTGATATGAATCATCAATTTTACCGACTTTACAAAACTTATTTTATTTGCATATTGCATACATTAGATTGAATAGGGAGTGAATTTGCTATAGAGTCATTCGACAGCTAGACACTGTGTCATACGGTGTACCAGGTGCTGGAGATAGAAAATGAATAGCATACTCCTGTAGTCAGGGAGCACTCAGTCCAGCATTACATAAAAGTACTAATTTTATGATAAAAATATATAGATACTTATTATATTTTATAATATCATACTGAGTATCTACATAGAGCAGATTACAGATGAAATCTGTAATTTCAGGCAGGAGTGTAGCTCATTGACAGGGAGTTTGCCTGGCATGCTTGTCTTACTGGGTTCCAGTCATAGGACTGCAAAAATTAAAATCAAACAAAAGCTACATATTAATAACTGCAAATAAGCAAGTGCTTACTTGTGTATTTTTCATCAAGAATAACTCAAAGAAGTTGCCTCAAGGAAGAGGTGATGAGAATGGAAAATTCCATCTAATTTCAGCATTTATTCCTAAGAGTTAGCTGTCATCGTGTTTTACTGCATATGAAAACTTCTGGTTCTTTGTAGCATAATATTTTCTTTCATATTCATCCCTAAAATATCTAACTTAGAAGTTCATATAGTTGTATGAAATTCTTTGGAGTGATTGCTCCATCTCAGTGCCTGTACGTTCTCCTCCTAATTCCTATGGTGGGCCTTGTTGTAGGCAGCCCTGGGAAATTTCTGATCATATGTATTATTGCTCTTTCTGGATTGAGTAGTGGTAATTCCAGACTCTCTCTAGAGCAAACCTGAACCCTTGTTATTTTTAGGCACCTAGATCAGATAAGCTATTTTCGGTGGCTGACTTAAAATATTCAATAGACTCTATTTAAAATATTTTTGAATACTTTCTTCTAGCTCAGCAGTAGCGTGGCAGTGAGGATTTCAGTAGTTGCTAAGAACCTTTGTTTCCTCATGGTTTTTCCACGGACGAATGTGCTGCAACTGCGTGGGTTTCTATTTGTAAGAGATTATATTTCAAAAATACTGCCTTCAAACCCAGCCTAGTAGGATCTACATACTAGTCTAGTAATTACTTCAGCTGTTAATAAGTACAAACTAATGCTTTATTTTGTTCCAAATATTGACTGTGGAATTCTTTAGAGCATTCCATGGTAGAACACTAATATCCAAAATATTTGTTAAAATATAAAGCTGAAATATTTTCATCTCCTTCAGCAATCATTAGTGGAAGTCCTGGAAAAGAGTATTTGAAGAACCTTTTTCCTTCATGATAAACTCTATAAATACAGTTAGGGGTAAATGGCTATACATACAAAATGTAGGATTCTTATCTGATTTGAAGTCACTTCCTCTCTGAGTCGTGTGTGTGTGTGTGTGTGTGTGTGTGTGTGTGCATGTGTGTGCGTGTGTGTGTGTAAGGATGAAAGCCAGAGCCTTGCTCATGGTTGATGTTTATTAACACTAAGCTAAATTCTAGGCCTAAAAGTATAATCCACGCTGGCCCTGAACACATGGTCCTCCTGCCCTTACCCTGTGCAGCTTTTGGATTACTATTGTTCACTTCCATGGTGGGCTAAGTATTTTACTGAAATTAACCAACTCATTATTTTCCATTATACTCTCATATTGTGATTGCATAGGCATGCGTTTTTTTATCATAAACTAAAACCACATCAAATCTAACAGCGTTCTGTTTAAAGCAGTCAGCGTAACTTGAGACCACGTCCTGTTAGAATCATGAGGGAATGACTTTGTCAATTGACTTGGATACATATTGGGGGGCTGTCCATGCATCTCAGATGGCAGTGGAGTTTGTGAGTCAGCTGAGTTGAGCAACATAGGATCTGGGATTTACACAGGCTATCATACATAACCAAGACTTTACTGTAAGCTGGGGTAAAAAGTGACTTTACTGTAAGCTAGCATAAAAAAAAATGACTGCATTTGAGAGAAAATTATATGTTCTCTCAAACTGTGTGCAGTTGTAGCGATTTCCTTCAGACATGCAAAAATGTACTAGGTATTCATTTTGACTGAGCTCACTGTACAATTCCATCTTTAAAAACAAGAGTAAAAAAACCAGACAAACACATCAGTGTGACCACAGTGTTTTCCTTTCGTTTTCGTTCACTGCTGTTTGACAAAGTTAGTCTTCATGAAGAGTACTGGGAGTGCACAGACTTTCCTTTTCATCTCCTAATAGTGCTAGAATCTTTTATAATCTTTAAATATTTTGTTAGTTCAATGTAATTTTTTAAAAATGAAACTCATTCAGGCATTGAACAGAATTTGAGTCATGCCTTTCTTTGCTGCTGAAAGTGCCTTTAGATTTCTGTTTATGTTAAGGGAATGTGGTCCCTCCCATAGGTTCGCGTAGACTACAACCAGCATCTGTTTAAAAATTGAGTGAATGAAGTGAAATATTCCAGAGCAAAATCTATAGTTGTTTGATCTTCGTGCTATTTTTCATCAAACTTTGTGGTTTTTTCTAGAGTATATTCAATGCTTCTGGAATATTTTTTATTTGAAAATGTGTATCATGTTTTCTTATAAAGCTTGAAGTCCATTTCTTTCTCCTTTGTAAAATGCTCTTTTCTCAAAATGAAGTGGTTTTAGGCTTAACATAATCCATCTCTAAGAATCCCCATCTTTCAACAGACATGTATTCATTGAATGCCTACTGTGTGCATTCATCTCATTTTGCTTAATTTGTCCAGTCAGTCTCATCCACTTTATTCTGTCAGCTTCAAAATCCAGCCTCCCTCCTCAGCTCCAGGTATGTTTCAAATTTGTTTCCTCTTACCTACTTAACTAGAGTATATAGAGGGCAGGAACACTAACACTGGGGAGCAGCATTTGAACTCCTGGAGGTATGACTTTGTGAGCATGGGCTATGGACAAAAGATTCCCAACTGGAGCAGAACCCTGTAGAGGGCATAAAGTTTCTGGCCCCATTCTGCATGAAGCTATCTCTACTCTCCTTTGTAATTAATTCTATAAAATCGTTCATGCTACGTTTTAAAATCATGGCAAAAAAGAATATAACTTTACTATTTTAGCCATTTTCTGTATTCATTTTAATAATGTTTTTATTTTTTATATTTTCCTGTCCCCATAAGTCCTTCCCCACCTCCTTATCCCTAACCAACTTCATGTTCTTTCTCATAAAAATAAAAACAAAACATGGAGTCCAATTTGTGTTGGCAGACTGTTCCTGGGCATGGACTCTGCCCAGGAGAGTAGTTGATATGCTCAGTATCCATTTTAAGTGTGCCATTTTTGCGTTGTTGTTCAACCATGACCGCTATTCATTTCTAGAATGTGTTTACCAATTGAAATTCTGTACCAGGATATAATAATTCCCTGTAGCTAGCTTCCTTGACATCCACCAACCTAGGGCCTACTTCTATGATCTTGACTGCTCTAGGTACCTTATACAATGGAACCATACATTAGTTACCCTTTTGTGACTGGCTAATTACAACTCTACATTCTAGTTTATGTCGTTAGTGTAACAGGCTATTGGAGTAGACCACCCACTTGTGTTGACTTGTATACAGCATAAATAATGCTTGTGTGTGTGTGCATGTGTGTGTGCGTGTGTGTGTGTGTGTGTGTAGTGGGTATCTTGAGTACTTTTTGTATGAACAGACAAATTCTAACTTTATAGTTGCATTTCTCCCCACTTTGCCCAAGTATCTGCTTTAGTAGGAGCACAAATTAGGGTCCACAAACCTCAAGGGGTAACCGAATTGATACTTCAGACACCAGTAATTTGATAATACTAACTTTTTCCCACTAACTAGTACAACTCTACAGTAGCCCCTTATTTTCCACTAACTAGTACAACTCTACAATAGTCCCTTATTTTTACAGTTGTTTATTTATTTTGTAAGGGTGTAGGTGAGTGGTGTCTGTGTGTGTGTGTGTGTGTGTGTGTGTGTGTGTGTGTGTGTGTGTGTATGCCATGGTGTGCATGTGCAGGTCAGAGAACAGCTTGTGAGAGTCAGTTTTCTTCTGCCATGTAGATTTGGGAGATCAAACTGAGGTCTTTGGACTTGCAAGAAAGCGTCCTTACCACCCTCTGAGCCGTTTTGTTGGTCTTGGAGTCGTTTCTTTTCGTGTGTTCTAAATTTGGGGACAGTTTCCTATAACAAATTTTCTCCTTGAAACCATCATTCAAATGCATGGCTTCTTTTATAAGGGAAGTGGAGGTTTTCCTACAGAGATTTCCTGCCCTTAACAGTGATAGGTGTATGGTTATGGATAATAATCACTTGGCACTTTTGGAGTTGTAAACCAATATATGGACAGCATTTTAATTTAGCACATTTATTTGCATTCTGCAACACTAACCTCTGTTATCAGAAATCAAATGCAAAATCTGTCTTACCCCCCCAAAAAATATTATTTAGGTTATTTGGGCTTCCGTTATTTGTGATTGACTTTTTTTACGGACCCTTTGGGCCCAGCTGTAGACAGCAGATTCCCTGTGGGACAAGCTTCCTTGGGCAAGCTTGCTTTTTTTTTTTTTCTTTTTGATGGTGCTCCTTCAGACCTTTCCCTGGCTCATGCCTTCTTAGCAGGAAATTCAGATGTCCCCCAAACCCTCCTGTAAAGCTTAACTCTAGAAATGGACAGATCTAAGGTAACTGCAAAAACGTATCAAGTCCCCTGGTTGTTTCAAAGTTCCAGTGAAGCAGCTTACTTACTGGTAGGAAGCCTTATTTTCAGATGTAGAAGTTACTTAGTTGGGACTTGAGACATCTCAGCCATATAGCCTGTTCTGGAAGGTCACCGCTGAAGCTTTCTGTGCATCCATTTTGGTGACAGTTGGAAAGCTTCTATTTAGAACTGGTGCAAATAAAATGTCACACGTTGTTTTTTAACTTGAAAAACAGGTGCTTTTGTTCATGCAGAACAGCAAAATAGAAACATATTTTATAGGGACTTTCTTGTAAATGTCAGGCACACAAGAAGCATTCTGAGTTCATGTGGTAGAGAGAGTATAGTTACTTATTAGGAACAAGTTTGTGGCAAATGAACAAATCTTAATGTATCTGTTAGAGGAGGGCCGCTTGTTGGTTCCCTGCGCTAGCTTACACCTGAAATAATCACATAGAAACTGTATTAATTAAATCACTGCTTGACTGATTAGCTCTAGCTACTTATTGGCTAACTCTTATATTAATTCAACCCATTTCTATTAATCTGTATATCGCCATGTGGCTGTGGCACATCTGTCTCCAGAAGCTTCATGACTTCTCTCTAACTCAGCCTTCCTCCTCCCGTGCTATAGGCCAAGCCAGTTCCTTTACTCATTATCCAATAAAAGCAACACATAGACAGAAGGACCTCCCATACCATTTATCAGTAATTATAAGAACTTTTTCTTCCTCATGAAAACACTTAAAGATGCATCACATTCGCCGTTGTCGCTGTCTCAGTGCCCAATTGCTCTACATAAAAGCAAGTTGCATGAACCATTCCTAGATCTCTACTTTCTCCCCTACTATTGTGGGCACTCATATCTTCTTTTCTAATGTAGACATAGGGCTCCAGGTGCTTTGCTTCCTCAGTTCAAGCTGGACTGCTATAGCAGAACAGAATGGATGTCAAGATTACTGGAGGGGCGTGAAGAGGATAGGAAAAGCTTTCTTTTACATAGCCCACATAGAAACAAAATCAAGAAAAGGATTAACAGGGTTAGGGAGGTGGTTTACAGGTAAAATGCTTGACTTGCAAGCAGCGGGACCAGAGTTCAAATCCCCACAGCCCATGTACAAGTTCTGCAAGTGCATCTGGCCTATAATCCTAGCCTGTAAGAAGCACAGACAGAGAATCCCTAGAGCAAGCTGGACTAGCCAAGACTAGCCAAGACGGTATGTTCAAAGTTCAGTGGAAAGAAACCAAAAAACCTGCCTCTGTATATAACGTAGAAAGCAATGCTGGAAGCCATTCAACTTCAGGCCTCTATATGCATTCACACACATGAAAACAGGAATATACATATGCATATCATACATATACATATGCAAGAGAAAAGACATCCTTTGTGTCCCATATTGATATAATGTGAATATTCTCTCCCTAATTCTTAACTCTAAGCTACATCCCAGTTTTCCTCCTACAGTGTTCACCCAACTCTTGATTCGTTAGCCTTCTGTCATGAGTGTTTGTATCTCTGGAGTCCGTTTCCTGCCATAATAAAGCTCCAGGCTCATGGGAATATTGCAAATTTTAAATGAAACTCCTGAACACTCCTGAGGGCGTTTAAGAGTATGAGGGCTAGTAGCAGTGGCTTGAGAACTTTCATCTCGCAACTGGGCCTTCAAGTGACAAAAGTAGGACTTGTGTCATAAGTTGAAGCACAGCAATGACTGTATTTTCCCCTAGAAAAAAAATGGTTAATGTATAAAACTGTAGGCCGTGTCTCTACCGCACTTCATGCTTGCTACTGTGGATGCACTTATGTTGAAGTTGTCTTTGGAAGCATCTATCCACCGCCTGCCTTCCCCTGGAACCTAGGTATTATTTTAATGAAGAAATGCAGGTTTCAAAAACTTAAATATTTTACTTGGAAATGGGCTCACAGAACACAAATCATTCACGGTGTGACCTGCTGTCAGCCTTGTTAAACCTGCCTTTCCACCTCGAGTCGGTTCTGTGGTCTCACAAAGTTTCAGCAAATACCTTTCATGAAGTACTGGAGAGAAAGGAGTGTTTCAAGCTATGTCTGAAAGAAAGAGGAAGTTGGTGATTTATTTTTAAAAGGTTTTATTGGGAGGGGGAGGCGTTTGGTGCCTCATAGGGTCTAGGCAAGCACTCTGCTGTTGAGCTGTGTTCCTAGTCATCCAGTGTTGATCCAATAGAGCTACATGATGTGCGTGTGTGCGTGCATGCATGCGTGCATGTGCATTTTATGGTGCATTTCTTTATATCTCCCCTATAAAATGTTTTCTTTTCTTGTTCAGCTCACAATGAAGTCCTAGGTTTGGAACTTAACTATCTGCAGTGGTCATATTAAACTATATACTCTCTCCCCCTTTTTTGGAGGGGGATAGTTGCTTTTTTCCTGGATTCCATGTGTGTGCAAAAATATCTATTAATCATGGCTGGAAAAGGCTCTAAAATGTCTTAAAACAAATGGAACAATGCAAAATGTCTAGTGTCTTCGAACTCTAAAATTACACAGAAAACATTCAAAATTGTCCACTTGCTCTTTAGTTTTTAATGTCATTGTACTTTTCCTTCAATATTATTCAAATAATGACTTCAAGTGATTGTTCATTTTGTGGATTTTATAAAAATTGGTAATAGTTAAAGTGACACGTGGTGCTTGTATGTGGTTAGCTGTATTTAAGTAGTTTTACAAGAAGTACAGGATGAGAATCTGACTTTAATTTTCTATGAAAAACAGTCTATGGTCTGGATCCCAAAGAACCATGTTAAAGTCTGTATTTATAATCAGTAGACTAGTTACTCTGCAAGTTTTAATTTTTTTCTAGTGGGTTATTTGGGGCCAGGCATGTAATTATTAAATTGTTTTGTGTCTTTACAGGGTTCAAAACTATGGATAATAATGGAATACCTAGGGGGAGGTTCAGCTTTGGATCTTGTGAGTATTTTAAAGCAGTTATATACACATACAGAAACTTACTTAACTCTTTGAAATTATGTAAGCAGTAGCTTTGGGGCAAGCTAAGTTATTCAGGTAAGACTTAGCTTTTAATCTTGTGTGCACAAACTGCATTGTAGATTTGTTGTGCTGCTGAGAGTCTTAAGGTATATAATAAGTGCAAATATCCCAGAAGACAAAGTCCTGACGTTTAGAGTGATTGTTTGCCAATTGCTGTCAGTTTGACATTTTTATGCATGTCTTAATACTGAATATACTTGGACTTAAAAAAATACATTATGGGGGGATGGAGAGATGGCTCACTGTTTAAGAACACTGGCTGCTCTCTTCCAGAGAACCCAAATTCGATGCCTAACACCCACATAGCCGCTCACAGCTGTTTGTAATTCCACTTCCAGAGGATCTGATGTCTTTTTCTGGCCTTCACAGGCTCCAAACACATAAGTGGCACAGGGGCCTACATGTATACACACAAAATAATAAAGAAAAACTTTAAAATACTTCGTTGAGATAGCTGTCACTAACAGTGATTATGAACCAAAGGTCTGAGTCTTTGAAAACTCGTGTGTCACTACCCTGCCTCCCAACACGATGGTATTAGGAAAGGTAATGAAGGCATGCGAGTGAAGACTTCAGGGATGACAATGGTGTTCTTGTCAAGGTGGCCCTGGAGGACTTTCTAGCTTTCCTTCTGTTATATGAGGATACAATGAGAAGGACTATCTGGAAACCAGGAAGGTGGTCTCAGGCGATACCCATCTGCTTAGACTCCCCAGAACTGAGAATCGGTGTTTAATATTTAATTCACTTTGTCTGGGATGCTTTGTTACAGCAGCCTGAGGTGTAGGAACGTGTTACTCTCATTGTTTTATTTAAATTTTGTAAATTGTCTTTTATTTGTGTTTCTTATGAGGGTGGAGAAGGGGTGTATATAGCCCATGCTACACGTAAGAAAGTCAGAGGACAAGTTCCTCAAGTCTCTTCTCTCCTCCTACCATGTGGATTCTGGGAAGCAAATTTAGGTCATCAAGTTTGATGGCAAGAGCCTTTACTCGCTGAACCTTCTGCTGGCCCCTTTTCTTAGGCAAATATTACAGTGCTAAAATCTGGTGCTGTGTAGGAAAAGTTCCTCCCAATGAAGACATGTTCACATGGAAAACACCTCTGAGAAAAACTGATCGTTTTTTCCTGTGTTGCTGTGATGGTATCAAAGTTGATCCCTCCCTTGAAAAATTATGAATGTGCATTTCTACTTAAAATTCAATACAAGTTATAATAGTCGACTTGTTCTAGATTGACCACTGGGTGACCATATAGCTGTTTGAGGTTCTCCAGCTGGCTCTAGTCATCAAGGTCTATGACTTTGAAGCTTTGGACTTGAATATCCTATAGCACACAGAACTTATACTAAGTGCTTCGAAGTTCTCTTACAGCTTTAATAGTATGTGATTTGATGGATTTGGGGGTTTTGTTTTATTTTTGAGGCCCAGGATAACCTGGAACTCATAATCTTCCTGCCTCAGCCTCCTGAGTGTTCCATCCTTGTTTTGAGGCAGGATCTTCAAACCCTCCCATATATCCCTTCTTGCTCTCTTTCAGATTCATGACCTCTTTTTTCATTAATTTTGTACATGTATATACATATATATCCCTTAACTATAAGCTCCATCTTCTACCATTGTCCGTTCCTTTCTTCAATATTTAAAAAATTTAACTGTAGAATTCTTTTACACCCTAAGTTAGGTATATAAATTTCAAAGTATTTTATGTCTTTGAAACAATTGTGAATGAGATGACTTCTCTAGTTTCTCTCTCAGCATGTTTGCTATGGTATATAGAAAGGATGTTTATTTTTGCATGTTAAATTTGTAGCCTGCCACAAAAGTGGTAGGGCTGGAGAGATGGCTAGGTGATTAGGAACACTGATTGCTCTTCCAAAGGACCTAGGTTTGATTCTCAGCACCCACTTGGCAGCCACATGGGGACCAAATGTCCTCAGTTCCAGGGGATCCAATACCCTTACACAAACATACATGTAGGCGAAACACTAATGCACATTAAACATAAAACAAAACAAAACAAAAAGGCCTTAGCCCTGACTGCAGATGACTTCAAATTTCAGCGAATTTGATGACTAGGAAAGTATCTGAGAGATTTTCCTTGGTGGAGTAGGTGGTCCATACATAAACTATTCCAAAGAAATGGCGATTAAGCCAAGAAAACCAGCCTACAAACCACAATCCCAGAGAACCTAGACAACGATGAGGACACTAAGAGAGACTTACATAGATCTAATCTACATGGGAAATAGAAAAAACAAGATCTCCTGAGTAAATTGGGAGCATGGGGACCTTGGGGGAGGGCTGAAGGTGGGAGGGGAGAGTCATAGAGTGGAGCAGAGAAAAATGTAAAGCTCAAAAAAAATCAATAATAATAATAATAAAGAAGTGACAATTAATCTCAATGGAGAGCCTCACCTAGGAATTCATGGCTAATTCTTCCTTGACTTTTCTCTTTTATCTCAAGTTCAGTCTTTATGTCTCTCTCTCTCTTTTCCAGTGAGGCAATTTCTTATAGAAAAATCTTCATGCATGTGAGTTTAATCTCTGTTCTTTTCTCAAACTGAAATGAGCTTATTTCTATAGCACAGGGTCTCACAGCTGCTCTAGTCTACCTCTTCCATTCCTTCAACAGTGATAGCCCTTTACAGATTCACCACTTACTACGTCACTAATAGTAATGGACCCATTGACTGCTGACATACTTCCAGCTAGCAACCCTAATCTGTATCTGATACCAGTAGTTTGTCCAGTTTAATGTAATGTCTGAGTCAAACAAACATATTTCCTTTACCTCTTTTTGCCACCCACCTCATCATAATAAGACAAATGGCAATTAATGTAAACTTAATAAGTTAAAATGTCAGCACTCTATTGGTTAAAAGTCTAGTCACCTAATCCCAGCTCTACTGAATGGCTCAGGGATACTGAGCATGCCAGTCACTCTGTAACTTAATTTCCTCACATGTTAAATCAAATGAAAAAAAAAATGGGTTAGAAATGTCTAGTTCTGCTTTTCTAGCTAAAAATAAAATTGACACTGCTGTGGCTTAATTATGCAGCCCAGAAGATACTGAGAAAACATCTTGCTCCTTTTCAATGTATAGTCATCGACAGATGAGTGCGATTGATTTTGGTTAAGAATTTGTCGTATTAAGAGAAAGCAAGATGGCTTCTGGGCAGAATGTTTCTCAACTCAAACTGGCACTAACTGACTAACACGAGACTATGAATTCTGGTTTATAGTCAGGATTATACACTGTACACCTCAAGAGTCTTATTCCAAGAAAATCATTCATTACAGTTGAACAGACTTTGACCATTTTAGATGCGATGTTATGAAATTTATTGTTTACTGCTTCTTTCTAAAACAGTTACGTTGTCTTGCACAAAGACATCTGATAAGTAAATAGTATAATGCATGAGCACTATAGAGAGAAGCCTGGAGCCGTGCACTAGTTAGAAAAGAAGGCCTACTGTAGTAGGCAGCCTTGCGGACTGGCAGGAAGTAAAAGGAATGTAGGGAAAACCCATAAACCCACAAGTGCAGAGTCTTTAAAAGAGCAATTGTCCCTCTTCTGCATATCCTTATGTTCAAAACCCAGGCAGGTTATACAAGGCAGGTATGTTGCCCTGGGCAGAGGCTTAGAACTTTGCAGAGAAGTTTCAGTTAAGCATTCCAAAACCTTGGCATTTTATCTCCCAAGGTTGTATTTGAAATTTTAAAAAAGCAAAACAAACACTTCCTCTTATATTGCATCTTTGCGACATTCCCTTGGTTCCCCGTATGCTTTGTCCTCTTTTTCTCACGACTGCCAGCGCACTGTAGGAAACATGTGTACTACAAGGTTTGAGGCCATTTTTGATATGGTAATGGTCCAGAAAAATCCACCCACACCCACCGTCCCATATCCACTCCCTCCCCCCTCCCGCCACCACCACAAAATAGTCCCTCCCGTCCCTTTTCAGCTTCTAGCTGAATTTTTACTTTGAATTTTCAACTAATCCTAAAATGCATCATATGGTAATGGACCTTCAAGACCCTTTTTGTTGTTCGTACTGACCTGTTTTAAAAGTTCTATATTAGGAAGTGGATTGAGCTATCTATCCCACACTTAGAAACCCTTCAAAATGATAGTGGGTGCCCTGAAATTGCCCTTGCCCAATTTCTTAAGTAAGCAAGAGTATGCCTCTGGCCCTACCAATGCTTTATGATCATGTACTAAATTCTAGTCTTTGCTCATATGATGTATGTCCTTCGGTTATTTGGTAGTTCCACGGAATTTCTTTGCCAGCCATCAATAAAATAATGTCTCATTTTCACCTTTAGAATCACGTTAATCACTAACCTTTAAATTAAAAAGAAATTGAGGTGGAAGTTGATAGATTTGGAAGTTAATAGATAATGTTACCTAGGAATGGGATCTATTGAATTACAGGCATCCCTAGAGGATACAGTAAGACCACTCTTAATAGCGAATGGTGAAACCAAAGTACAAGGTCTATTTTAAGCTGTTAAATTTTGACATAAAAGTGCCCTTTATTCGGTATAAATATGGCATTCATGCAAAGATGAAATACACAAGGTGCCAAAGAGCTGTGAATCCCTCCCAGTGAGGCAGAATAGGCACCTCCCCCTCCTTCCAGCAAACGGAGCTCTGCCTCCCTGTGCCTCCAGCTTCCCACCCTTCCTGTAATAACACTGTTTGTGCTTTATGAGGTACCAGAATTTTAAAATGACCATTTATTTTAAAGGGATTTTTGGGTGTTCCATTACAAGTTCTCCTGAAACCTAATGATTGCTTTCCTTGTCTTCCAGTTGGAATGACTGGCTTTGGTACAGGGGTGGGGAAAGAAAGGGAAGTGTGTTACATTTATTTGAAAAATATTATTCCTCCATGATCTGAATTTTTTACAATGAGAGTCTGAATGGTTGAGTTATTATATTTCTGGCTGAATTTAGATTAGGGGTGTCTGATTAAAAAACCAGTTCAGTGTTAATATGCAGTGACTGTTTAAAAGCAAGTGCATTCTGTCTTTATCTTGTCATTGTACATGGTCTAGTGTGACCTAAGGACACTGCCATGCACACACATATATTATACTCTAACTCTATTCCCTTCATGCCCTAAACCCCTGCTTCTTAGTCTTCCTGTTAGTCCGTCGTTCCCTTGGAGAGGTTTACTCCCCAAGTAACAGATTCCTTCCCCCCTTGGCCCGTGTGGCAAAAATTCCACTGCCCTTTGCATAGTTTTGTTAAATCTTGGATGTAAATTTTAGAGCCCTCAGAATTTGGAGCTAGTATCTAGGTAAAAAAATGCTTAGCTGAGCTTTCAAGATAAATCATTTGTTTATGTGTATATGGGTGGCTTGTGTTTAGGCAGGATCTCATAGAGCCCCAGCCGGCTCTCTTGTGGCTCAGGCTAGCTCCAAGCTGTGCTTGTAGCCAGAGATGAACTTAAACTTTTGACCCTCCTGCACCCATCTCCCAAGTGCTAGAATTACAGGCATGTGCCTCCTTGCCCAGTCGATGAGTGCTGGAGTTTTAACTCAGGGAGAGCTAACTCATGTGCCTCCGTGCCCAGTCTATGGGTGCTGGAGATCTAACTCAGGGAGAGCTAACTCATGTGCCTCCGCACCCAGTCTATGGGTGCTGGAGATCTAACTCGTGTCTCCGCACCCAGGATTGTGTGTGTTAGTCACATGCTCTGCCAGCTGAGCTAGATCCGCATCCTGCAATCTAATTGTCTAAAACCCTGCACAGCCATTTGAAATGACTTTTACTACCTTTTCTCCCTTTAAAGGCTTTTTCCTCATTTGTTCAAATGTTGGTTTAATAAGCTATTTCAGATAACTAAGTGATCCAAAATGTCAAAAATACCAATTTTGCATTTTCCCCCAACCTTTTAAAGTGTGTGAGTGTACATGTGTTTTCTTCTTAAGCTGCGCGCTGGTCCATTTGATGAATTCCAGATTGCCACCATGCTCAAGGAGATTTTGAAAGGTCTGGACTACCTACATTCTGAAAAGAAAATTCACCGAGACATTAAAGGTATACAAAAGTCAAATAGAAACCTGAAAAAAAAAGATTCATTTTGGAGAAGCTGAGAGATATTCATTTTGTTTTTCTTTGCCCTCTAGCCGCCAATGTCTTGCTTTCAGAACAAGGCGATGTTAAACTTGCTGACTTTGGAGTTGCTGGCCAGCTGACAGATACACAAATTAAAAGAAACACCTTTGTGGGAACTCCATTTTGGATGGCTCCTGAAGTTATTCAACAGTCAGCTTATGACTCTAAAGTAAAGTATTCACTGTCCAGATGGAATTCATTGGATATAGCCTTGTCGATAAGCTTTTTAATTTCTCCTTCCTTCACAAGTGTTTCTAAAAGAAATTATGTTCCATTGTGTTCCTTAATCATTTGTCTCATCAGTGTTGGAAATATTTGATCCCTATTTATTTCAATAGCTTTCCATCCCACTTGGAATCAAATCTAGAGTCCTTCTAGTCACCCATAAGGCCATTGGTGATCTGGCCATTGTTTGTCTGTCTGCCCCGATCTTCTACCCCTGTCATTTGTACTCTCTTTGCTCCAGCCATTATGGCCTCATTGTTCCTCAAACACAAGAACATTTTGACCTCAGGATTTTTCCTTGCTTTCCCCTTTGTGTGGAACAACCTATCTCTAAGCTGTCTCCCCTGCACAGAGATGTCTCTCCCAACCATCCCGCAGACACCTGTAGCTCCTTTCCCTACGTTGGTCATCATTCCCTTTTCTGCGCTTTGCTTCCCCACAGAACTTGGTCCCATCTCACATAATGTTACTCCTTCATCTGTCCCTCTTAGTAGAATGTAAGCCTCTTCAAGGCAAGGACTTTCATCTGGTTTATTTAGCATTCAAGTAGTATTGTGCCTGTACAAAACATGAGATTTAAATTTTGAATTCATGAGTTCCATTAATTAAAAATATTTTAATTATTATATGTTATATAATACTATTATATTATTATAATTCACCATATTTATTGATATGCCATTGCAGGGATTTTTGGGCAGCATCCTAGAATGGAGTTTCAAGGTGATAAACAGTTTTTGTTATTGTTTCCTTTTCAGGCTGACATTTGGTCACTGGGAATTACTGCTATTGAACTTGCCAAGGGAGAGCCTCCAAATTCTGACATGCATCCAATGAGAGTTCTGTTTCTTATTCCAAAAAACAACCCCCCAACTCTTGTTGGAGACTTTACTAAGTCTTTCAAGGAGTTTATTGATGCTTGCCTGAATAAGGATCCATCGTTTGTGAGTATATGGCATTACCGCTGTTGGTTTCCTATTGTTCCATCTACTTCTAACTGAGACAGTGTTTCCTATGGCGGAGAATACAGTGTGTGTGAAAACGTCTGTGATCCATTTGTACTGCTAATTCCACTCTGTTCTTAACCAGATCCTTAGTCCTTTTTCTCCTCCCTGACATCATCTTCTTAGTCCCCAGCTACCCAATCATTTCCTATTTCAAGGTTTGGAGAAATAATTAATTTTCTATTACATATTCCTTAAAGTACATGTGTACCTGCTAGTGATGGAATTGACTAAATTTATTATACGTTGTAGTGTTGTTAAAATAACCCTCCTTTCCACTCCTGATGATTAGAAACCCATGAGCACTTTTCTAAGCTAGATGTAGCTATGTTTATGTCGACAGTAAATATTCCAATAGTAATGAAATAATGAAAGCACTTGGTGTTTGCGTTCATATACGATAAGAATTAATGTTTGAGAGAAAAGCATATGCTACAATGTGGGCAGATAATGACAAAATCAGGGATTCATAAGATGTGCAGATAGCAAAATTACAACAATCTTGCTCATTTGGATGATTTTTAAAAAAATTACAGTCAGTGTAATAAAGTGTCTTAAAGTGTTGTTTTGACATTTTAGATGCTTGCTTTCTAAGTCCCACTCTTTCTGAGAAGGCTTTGTTGGCTGGCATGCTGGTGAGGTAGACCAGTATCAGCTTACTGTTGCTCTTTAACAAAGGAAGCTGTTAAAGCAGCGAATTTAATGTGCTTACCTTGACCCACCTCAAATAATCAAATCGTCAGCTTTCCTGTTACATTTTAACCGTCCTTGTGTCCGTAGATATTATTTTGTAGATTACAATTTAATAATTCATATGACGTTTTACCACCTACCTCTCTCCAAAAGATCCTCAAAATAGTCATGAGTCCTTCTTTCTTTGTGTGTGTGTGTCTGTTCCTTAGCGCCCTACAGCTAAAGAACTTTTAAAACACAAGTTCATTGTGAAAAATTCCAAGAAGACTTCGTATCTGACTGAACTGATCGATCGATTTAAGAGATGGAAGGCAGAAGGCCACAGTGATGATGAATCTGACTCCGAGGGCTCTGACTCGTAAGTACACATCGCTGCTGTTTTTATGTGGGCAACCCGTTCTCGTATGCTCTGCCTTTTTGCAATGACCTACCCTGCTTGCTTTAGACTAAGTTAAAAATCGCATTCTGAGGGCTCACTTCAGCCCCTCTTTACAGTCTGTGGGATACAATGAATTTGGATATATGCTTTGGAAGTGAAAAACCCTGCTTTTAAATGGTCTCGGTCTAACCCCTAGTGGATACTTGAGTACATTACAAAATTTTGGAATACGATTTGATTAAAGGTGTTCTATTAGTTCACAAAAAAAAAAAAAAAGCAGTAAGGAACTATGTTTTATCGTACTGCCGTGGCAACCTGTAGAACCCTTTGGAGAATTGTTCTCATGACCTTTCCTACCTCCTGGTCTCCAATCAAACTGATCAGACTGATCTGTGAACTGCTATACCTAGTTATTTAGGTATGATTTTTACCCTGTGGACAAGTTAGTCTTTTTGAAAAAAGACAGTGTTTGCATTAATAGTTCTGCTTCTTAACTTGTGCTCGTCTTAACTTGAGTAGAGGAATCCAAGGTAGGTAAACCTCTACAAAGGTAGTACCGAGTAGAGGAATCCAAGGTAGGTAAACCTCTACAAAGGTTTACCCCGTGTCTTCACAGAAGATTCTCAAGCACCTGCATTTAGGAGAAATTGCCCAACATTGAAATGAATAAAATATATCAGGATAGTTTATACCAAATCTAAGGCTTGTTAACCCTAACTGCCCATGAAAACCTCTTGATGGAACTTTAAAAACACAAGGCATTCTGCTAGGGAGCCTGGTTCAGGCACAGGGGATGGCAGTATTAGCATATAGGGCTGTGCACATAGGATTTGGGTGGTCAATTAGAGCTGAGAAATGCTGCTGGTCTTGAATAAAAGAGTATCCACCTGAAACTGAGGTCAGATGCGGTATTGTATGGCGACTTTGTAAACACTGACACCGTAAGCTCTTCAGATTTGGTGTGTTTTGCCATGTCAAATTACTTAGTATCTTTGGTATTTCTTTAGGGAATCCACCAGCAGGGAAAGTAATACTCACCCTGAGTGGAGTTTCACCACTGTGCGCAAGAAGCCTGATCCAAAGAAACTCCAGAATGGGGAGGTATGTATATGGAGCTAATCATATAATTTAGAATAGTAGATTGCATCATATCATCTTCATATACATATCATCGTAAGTTTTTCTCATCTGATCATATCCTCTTTATAGGGTTTTTAAAAATAGTGTGATGAGATTATAATGTGCAAAACTTTGAGAATTTAATACTGTTGCATGCTTGTCTGCCTCCCTCTCTGCATAATAATGTTCATTTATCATTAATTGTGACCTAATTTAGTCATAAAAATCATTTAAATGGCCACTGTTACTTTTAAAATTCATTTCCATGTAGAGATGTAAACCCAGGGAATCAGATGTCTATTGGAGTCATAGACATTAGGGGGCTTCCACTGATGGTTGCGAATCTGTGACAGAAAGGAAATATGGGGACTAGTCTTATCTTGGGTCTTTTGAAGGGAAAACTCAAATTGATTCACATTTGCTATCAAATAAGTAAGAAAAGCCATGAATGATTATTTTAATTCCGTGTGTGTAATCTGTATCATTTCTTCAAAGGAGCAAGATCTTGTGCAAACCCTGAGCTGTTTGTCTATGATAATCACACCTGCATTTGCCGAAGTAAGTGTGGGTTATTTAGCATCCGCTATCGGTCTCGAGTGGCAGGATAGTCTAAATGTTATAGCTATCATTCTTTTCCAGCTTAAACAACAGGATGAGAATAATGCGAGCCGAAACCAGGCAATTGAAGAACTTGAGAAAAGCATCGCGGTGGCTGAAGCTGCCTGTCCTGGCATCACAGATAAAATGGTGAAGAAATTAATTGAAAAATTTCAAAAGTAAGTTTTAAGTATCGTTTTCAAAATTATGTTAACATTTCAGGTGTTAATTTATGGTGGAATATGGGTGCATTGATGCAGTCATTTATATTTTCCCCTATAGAATCACTTCTGAAGAGTTGTATACTTGAAAACAGCTTTGTTTCTTGTTTCTTGCCCATCTTAAACATTGCCTTTTGTGTGTGGGGTGGAGAATGGAGGGAGAGTGCTGCATATGCCTATCCACATGGGTATGTGGGTGAACTGTTTTGCACACGGACCTGTGTTGGAAATACATCAATATCAGATTTGTAACCCTATCAGTCTCCACCTTACTTTTTGAGGCAGGGCCTCTCACTGAACATGGAGTTTGCCCTTTTAGTAAGGCAATCTATCCAGTGATGCCCTGGAATACTCCTCTCTGTCCTCCAATGCTGAAGTCATGGGGCTGAGTCACACCTGACAACAACACGGGCACTAAAAATCTGAATTCAGGTCCTTGTTCTTGGACCTCAAGCACTTTACCCACTGAGCCAGTCCAGTAGTGCCCTTGAACTATTATATTTAGATATGGAAAGGCAGTTTTCTACCGAACCGAACAGCCTAGGTTTTTGCCCTCTTTTCTTCCATTAGCATTGAAATTTGGGCACATGTAACATTATGCATGTTTCCATTCCTAACAGTACTCTTAATATTTGCAGAAACACCACTAATCTGATTATTTCCAGTAACAAAGTTCTTCCGCTTGAGCCCTTATGAAATGTTGATTAAAAGGTGCAGAGAAGACAGTCCACATCAGGGGATCTCAACCTTCCTAACATGTGCGACCCTTTAATAAAGTTCCCCACGTTGTGCTGGCCTCTAACCATAAAATTACTTTCATTGCTACTTCATAACTGTAATTTTGCTACAGCTATGAATAGTGATGCAAATACCTGGGTTTTCTAATGGTCTTAGGTGACACCTGTGGAAGGGGCCATGACCCACAGGTTGAGAACTACTGCTAGAGCCAGTAATAGAGGCTTTGCTTGTGTTCAGTTTCTGCCTTGTTGCCTATTAACTTGATTTTGTTCAAAAAAGTTCTTACAGTTAATTTGAAATTTCTTTTCTTAAACAAGACTTTTGTATGTATACATACATATTCATAGCTTACGTGAGTTCAAACGTGATTGTACAGATCATAACTTTAAACCCATCATATCTCTTCTGCTTCCATCTTTAGATTTCCCTGTTCAACTGAGTTCAAGGTGAAACTAAATATGTGGCCTATAAGATCCCTCTTAATTGTCTTTCCATCCAATAAAGCCTACTGCTGAGGATTAAGGAGCTAGAGTAGTCTTAAAATCCCCCAGATTCTAAAAAAAAAAAAAAAAAACCCTCCCATCTCTTTTCCTGTTTACAACCAGATCCATTGCAAGTTAGGAGAGCAGATGCAGAGGAATTTTGGACCATCTTTGTATCTTTTAATATCCATCTACATAAGAGTCAAAGAAAAGAATTTGTCTCCATTTGTTGTAGAGTTCATGAGTGCGAAATATTGATTTATACTGTTCTTAATTTTACAGATGTTCTGCCAATGAGTCCTCTTAAAAATGTGTTGTTGCTATTGCTGGCTTCGGTTTCATACGGACCCAGAGAAACCCACCAAAGCTATGTCAACCTTAATAATGCTTAACCCATGAGCTCCAGGTGCCTTTGGATCTTTGCGACATTGAAGATTTAGGAGAAGCTTTCAAGTATTTTGTGATGGTGGCTATCATTTTGTATTTTAAAGAGATTATTTTGTAAGGAATAATTTTAATACTATAGTTTCACCTGTATTGTAGTAAATGTTGAGATACAGTTGTTTTTTTTTAACGTTAGGTACCATTATTTCTTATGTTACTAGAATGAATACTATTTGGTTTTCAATCTTTAGTTAACTGTACACTCATGAAACATACAGGTCTTTCAAAGTCATCCTAAATATTGAACGTCTGTAAATCATCAAGCTTCAAAAAGTATTCCTTTTTTTTATGCGAACATTCGAAAAATGACTATGTGTAGGGAGGTAGAAATAAGTCATACCTTCTTAAAACAAATATTTGTAATAAGCTCTTGGAAAAAACACCTAGAAAAGTATTAATTTTTCTAGCAAGGTGTTCTGGATTCCAGGCAGCTCCATGTTTATCATACTTGAGAACCTTGTGTTTGAAGCACCATTTCCAGGCAACATGTAGCAGAAGAAGTACCTCTTGGTATTTTTATCTTCTCTTTAAGATGGAAGAAGCGGTTAACCCTTATTTACCATGGTTAGACGTTTAAAGTAATCTCACTTAGCCAAGGATGAGGGTTTGGTTAAACTGGAGGAATTAGTCTGGCTTCAACCTTCAAATCTTCAGCTCAAATAATATTGTACATGCTTGGATTTAGAAAAGTTTTAGAGACCTTGTTGTCTTGTGAGTAAATACCTGATTCATAGTTATGAACATAATGACACCAGCATCTTTTGTCATGGTAACTCAATTTTCGTAGAACTATTTATATATTTTTTCTTTATAATTATCCACACATAAGCATAGTGTGTTCAGTTTTGAAAAGGTATTTAAGTGAACATTGTCTAGCTCATATGAAAATACCATAGGGCATGAACATTTCTCCTCATACAAAGGTAAGATAGACTGTACAGTTAATTTTCAGTTCTATTTATGGTACTGTTAAGTGGGTAATATCCTTTTTTAGCCCTATATATATATATACTATGTTTGCCTAAGTGCTGAACTGGGGCTATAGTTTCATAGCTGTAGGCTTGTTGGCACTGATTAATTTTGACAGTTATGATTTTCGTGTTTGTATCTGCACATTTGATTTTTGCACAAATGATTTTTAAAATGTCTGGACAACTGCCAAATATTAAGAGAAAGATGTTGTGTAAGTAAACAATAGAGTTTTTAGTTGAAGTGGCCATTACATGCCTTCTTTCAAAAAAGAAATTCAAACACTTGAGAAGGTATAGTGTTATATGTCATGAAAATTCTTTGCATTGGTGCCTGTGCGCTAACAGTTGCTCTTACTTGATTATATTTTGAAGTCATGATTCGGTTAGAGTTTTCATCAGTTCTGTAACTGAAACTCAATTACACTTTGTTCTCCACAGTGCTCTACAAATACTTGTGTGACTTGAATCATGGATTACATTCGTATTTTTGTCAAAATAAAATCTACCAGTTCATAAATTGATTATGTAAAACCTTACCACATAACTGCATCCCAAATACAGCTTGTATTGCTTGCTCATTGGAGCTTTTGTCCTATAGACTGTTTCTAGGTAAAGCATACTTCAGTGTTTGGGGGATTTTAAAAAATAAATATTTAAATGTTATGATCCTTGATGCTTGTTCTCTTGAGGGTAGGTCTGATATGTTATTCTAATTGTTTTAAAATAGTTCTCCTTTTCCTTCTATTATTGGAACATAACCAAGGTTTCCATTGAAACTAAAAATTACCAAGAATTGATTCCACTTACAGCTGAACACATATATCCTGCCTCCTCCCTTAACAACATTATTAAGTCCTTTCAAAAATGTCTTCAGACAACCAACTCAATGATCTCCCTAGTTACTATTTTAAATAAAAATCACATACAGATTTGAAATTTATAGTTCTGAAGGAAACTGTACATTTAGCCAAAGTGTTTAGAAATGAAGATGAGATAAGAAAAACCGTATAAAACATAAAATTTTAAATTTCTTGTGGGGAAAAGATTACAGGTAATTTTAAAAAATAATAAAGATCTATATAAATTACACCTAGGTGGTCAAGCTTCTGTATATTCATAGTTTTCAATAACTACTGTACACTTGTGACTTAGTGGATTTGTGTCCAGGAATAGAAGAAAAGGGGTGGGTTGAAGCACATAAAAGCTGTTTTTGCTGAGGTAGAGAATAAAGAAATGTGTTATCTAGCTTTTCACTTATTAAATCACATATAAAATTGTTTATTCTATCACTTCACTTCCTTGAGGATTGGTAGACAAATATTGAATGAGTCAAGAATAGAATTTTGAGGGTTGGAGAAATTGCCCGGTGCTTAAGAACACTGGCTGCTTCAGCAAAGGACCTAGGTTGGGTTCCTAGCACCAACATGGTGGTTCACAAGTGTCTGTAACTCCCATTCCAGGGGATCCCACCCCATCTTCTGGCCTCTACAGGCAGCAGGCACACACATGGTATGCTTACTCATACACATGACGTTTTTGAAAAAGCAGTCAAATTGAGCTTAACACCATGTTACATCGCTGTAACCTCTAGCACACTGCAGGCTGGGGCAAGAGGACCAGGAGTTGGAGACCACCCTCAGCTTCTTGAGGAAATTAAGAAACAATCACACAACAGAATTTTTGGTCCCTTTCAAAGCCTGGTGGTGGTGCTCTCTCTTTTGATCTCAGTCAGTCTTTGTCTCCACATCACCCCAGACATTCATTTCCTCCTGTCTCTATTCTTTTTCCATCTTCTAACTATCCTATTCTATAGATATAGGCCACAACCATCTACTTCTGAATTTTATTAAAACAAAAAGAAAGTCATACGTCTAACTTCTGTTTGAGTGGATCTTCCATTGCTCTTTATTAAAATAACACCTCAGATCTTTGCCTACATGCATGCAACCAAGGTATGGCAAAAATGTACTCCAGCAGGAGAAATTAATAAACAAACTTGCTTGTTAACATTGATTTCCACCATATATCATAAGTAGTTATGAAGAGAGAAATTAGAAGTCAACACCATAATGTCTTCATCAGGCACACATCTGACATGAGACATGGGCCTAATCCAAGAACCTCCAGCATTGAGAATTCTGTTAAATCCTCTATTAATTCTCTACATGTTCTGCTGAGGGGAACTATGCCACTCAATTACATATATTGAGATTCTTAGTATGTAACAAGACTGTTCACTGGGTCCCGAACAAGTCATCAGGAGAGAAACCATAGTTTAGTGTTACATAAGCACACACACACAAACCCAACATAATCATGGACTACTAAATCACCACGCGACATTAGGAGCCAGTCCCATACACCAACCCACATCATTGTTCTTCAGCTTTGAAGATGGTCTTCATTGATAATATCTGCTCAAAGAAATGTAGAATGGTGATGGTGTACACCTCCCTCTCACTGCCATAGGAGAAGGCATGTTCCAGAGTCTGCTCAGAGGAAATAAAAGAACGAAGTTCATAGATGGAGACAGTGACTTAATCTTTCATAAACTGAGTGCCTGCAATGAGCAGACTCCATTAGCATCAATTGAGATGACTAAGGAGAAGGTGTACGGAAAGGCTCTTAGGTCTTACCTAAGGCGGTAACAGGGAACAGACCAGGAACATTCACAGAGTTCACTCTTCTAAGCTAAGAAATAGTTGCACGGTTTTAGCAAAGTCCTATCTTCAGCATCTGGCATGGTGAAAGAAATATCTTCATCTTCTTCATCTAGCTGCAGACTACCAGAAGACAAGCGGATTCGGGCCCTGGGTGACTTTGTTCCTTTGCCATACAAAGAGTAGTAGTCTGGTTTAAGAATCTCTGATTCTGAATCACTGGACTCACTAACTACGTATCTTTCTGCCGAGCTCTGATCCATTAGAACTGTGGGGAACCCCTGCTCTGCGAATGTACATGTAAAGGGATCTGTTTTACGAGTCAAAGCAGGACAGGGCCCTAAAGGTCTAAATTCTGACCCAAAAGGAAAACGGATAGTTTTCATGTCTGAATGGCTCTGAGATCTTTTAGGAGTTTGCTCTTGAAGGTTATATGCAAAAGCATCATCCAAATGTGGGTCTTCCTCCTCTAGGTCTACATTGATATTGCTCCTCCCACTAGTTCTAGCCATAGCTTCTTGGAGTTCTTGAAGGTCTTGCTGTAAACTTTTTATCCTGATATTCCTGGGGCTCCTTTTGACTGGTTTTACTGCACCAGGATCTAGATAGCTGTCTGGTCTGACACTTTCCTCTGCCATGATTGGAGACCGCCTGGGTACCTGGGGTGGCTTGTCCACATAAAAAAAGACTTGAGGAGGCATGATATCTACCTGCTGGCTAGTACAAGGAATATAGGGCACATCGGTGTATGTGAGCTGCCTTGCTGGACTCACTTTGCTTGTGAAAGCAGGAGATGTGCTGCTTATGTGATTGTCCACACACTTCGAGCTTGTCTGGAAGGAGCTTAGAGGGCTCCGTTCCTCAAAAAAGTCTATGGGATCAGGGTCAGTGTTGAAGACAGGATCTGCGTAAACAAAGGTGAAAGAGGAACTGCTTTGGGATGGATGGAGTGATGTGGGATCTGCCTCTGGTTTGGACCGCTCCAGCTCGGCTGCAAATGTCACCTCAACCGCTGAGTTTCTCCTTCTCCTGTCTAGCATAGGCTCAGATGTGTGCGCGCCATCCACGTTTCGGTAGTAGCCACTGCCATAGGGAAGTCTCAGGTCTTCCACCTTGAAAACCCAGATACGTTGATGTCAGATGGGTTAGGTTAGATATGTAAAGAAAGGTAATGCCTTACACCATGTCCCAAGTTATAGGTTAGAAAATACATGTGGCACTCTTCATTCTCAGTGACATCTCATTTATAGACTCCACGTTTCATGGGTCCTTCAGGTACCCTTCTATTTCAAGCAGTTCATTTCAGTAGCTATGTCAGAGAAGTAGCAATCCTACCCCTATCTGCCTTTGACTAGCATGTTCACCTTAGACACCACAGTCTAGCATGTGCACCTTAGACACCACAGTCTTATGTTCCTACTCCAGCCTCCTCCATATTTTGTAGAAAAGAGAGCTGTGGATGATGGCCTGAGAGATTCATAATCTCCATGATCCCTTTCACCAGTTTACATCTGATGCCTTTTGGATAAATGCCATCTGTGATTTGAGTGAAGGCATGGGAGTTTATGGCGCCTGCAATTAACTTTTGTAGACAGAAAAATGATCAACAATTTTCCTGACCTAAGTCTCAAATGAGGCGATCATTTTACAGTTCCAGGGGTGTAACTGTATCTAGAAATCATGTTATCCAAGTAAGCAACACCGTATGCCTTTCTTGAAGTCTTATGGTTTCCACTGTTTTTTTTAAAAGACCTTTTAAATTTAAAATATGAAGCCTTACAACTGTATTATTATCTTATTTTTAAAGATGTTGATAGTACAGATTGCAATTTGAAGGTACACCAGGGATTTCACTTATACACAGTACACAGTTAGTTGTAGTTTACAAAATGGCCTATTAGCAGGAAGGGCTGGCTGTGCCAAGACCTCCCCAAGGGACTAACCCTAGACGGAGTGACCTTGGGACACAGTAGGTAGATCTGGCAAAATCAACTCTTGGAAGCATTTGAAGACTGGATGACTTATACCTAAAGAAGTAGGGCTTTTCCGAAACCTTACTTGTTTGGACACGTCTGAGAGGATGTCTGGGGATGACCTGCAGTGCCGTTCGTGATACTGAGATGGGTACTGTTTCCTGCAAGCCCCAAACAGAGAAGTCATTGAAATGCCCGTTATGCAAATTATAGGCTGCATAGACATTTCTATAGTCAACTTCCAATCGGCATGAGAAGAGAGAAGGAAAAGGGTGCACCTTTCAAATGGCAGGCTCTTTAACCTCCCCTTTTTCCCATATTCCAAAAGTTGCCTTTGAGTTCTTCCACTATCGTAAAGAAAAGACAAAAAAATCATTAATTCTGTCATAAGCCTATATGCCAATAAAGCCCGACACCCTCACCTTTGACCCTTAAACTGTCTGGATGAGTGGCATACATTGTGACTCTCAGTCATGTTGATTCTATACCTACTTCTCTGGACACCAAGAAGAGAGCGATTTCATCTACCCAAAAAATAGGCTTAAAAAAAACCTGTAAAATACAAATACCAAGTGACTCTTACTCTACATACTCGTTCTATGGAGGCTAATTAGATTCCCAACCCAAGGTGGATGCAAAGCAGCTAACAAAACAGTAAAATAATGCTGCAGGTAGGCTCATACCAGTAAAGATATCCAGCTGAGTGCTGGGAGGAACACAAGAGACAGGAAGAAGTCACAAGAATAAGAAAACCCAAAATTTCATTTAGCAAAGGGCAAGGCCTACCATTCCATCCCTACCTAAGGCTATCACTGCACAACGGCCTGCAAAGGCTAAGAAGGGAGTTTTATAAGAAGTCGGGTCATTAAGAAAGAGCAAAATGCGCTCAATATCATCTGTTTAAGAACACAGGGATTTGTAGAGTACACTTTGGAAACATTCCAACAAAAATATGTTTTTTTAATATCTCTATTCTTACAAGGCAGGTTTCCAGGGTCTGAAAAATTCCTTATGTGGAAACATTGTGATT